TACTACACCATTTTAGAGGCAAAAGCGTAAGGTATGAAATGGTCAGGTTTGCTTTTTCAGGCTGTATCCCTTCTCTTCTCTGGTTTTTGACCCTCCCACCACCTTCCTTCCCTACTCCATTTACTTTTCCAGAGCTGGGACCAGAACTAGCTCTATTTGAGAATTTTGCTCATTGACCCTTGTGAGTTGGTCAGCCCTGGGCATTTTCCTTCATTGTCACTGTCTTGGTCAGTGACTTAGGTGGCCCTCTGCCCATGCTCTGCCTGTTTGCACATTTGGACCTGGACTCTGATCTCCTGAACCCAGACCTGCTAAACCTGTTTTTACCCAAGCCGAAGGACTCAGGGAACCTGCTTCTTTCCCTGGGGCCAGGGTTTGGCTTGCTCCTTAGACAAGACAGGCCAGCCTCTGTGCTGATGGTAACACAGAAGACGATATTTCTGGCTCAGCTGTCTTCTAAGCTCCAGACCTGTTCATCCACCTCCTTCCTAAAGAGGAAACGTCTAGGTAGATGTTTCCAAAGGCACCTTGTACACAATCCATCCAACACTGAACTTGTCAACATGTCCCTCCTTACCCAAAGTGCTTCCCCACAGGATTTTCTGCTCTTGAATTGTTCCTCTCTCCACCCCATCACTCAGAACTTGGTGCTACCTTTTCACTGTACAGCACCCCAGAGTCATCGGATCCTGCAGCTCCTACCTCCCAAATCTCCTCCAGCTCCTCCAAATCTACTTTTCTCGCATGCCACTGCCTGTACCCTAGACTAGGCCATCAACCCTTCTTACCAATCTACCAACTGATCTCTTGGCCTGGACTCACCACCCTCTTTGCTACAGCCTGAGTCATTCCCATGAACACTTCCTGTTATATATCTCTTTAACATTTCCCATTGCCCCTTAGAATCTTTTTCCTGAATCCACACCCTCTGTTGCCCAGCCATCTCCGACTTAAATTCGTAGCAACATAGGCTTAAAAAGGGAAGCACTAAGGTCATTAATGTTAACCTTCCTGGGGCTCATCCCTGCCTCCGTTGTAACTTCTAGTCCCTTTTCTACTACTTGGAGGCAATGTTATCAATAGAGAAGGAACCTTACTATGGGTGCAACCAAATGACTAAGCTAGCTCCCTTTTGAGGGCAAGAGAGAGAACCATGGAGTCCTATAACACATACTTTGAAAAACCAAAGACCTTCTGGCATTGGCGCTGGGTTTCATGTTTTTATGCAGGAAATAGTTGGAAGGAGAAGCTTTATGACTGGAGAAGCTATGAAAGTCCAGACTCTGGTGTCTTTTCCCTTAGGGGCTTCCTGGCTTTGATTCTTGCTGGAACACCTACCTTTCTCCTGGGCTACAATCATCTCCTTTACGAAATAACAAAATAAGTTAATGAAAGAAAAGAAGAGAGAGAGAGAGAAACAAATAATAGAAAACACAAACAACAAGCTGTAGTCTTTTATCAAAAGCCTGGTATCTGGATTCAGGTTAATTACATTCTAAGACCCCCAGGCTCCTCTCCTATGTTCAGTATCTGCAAGCTCCTGGACTCTGTGAGCTCTGTCTTATTTTTTTTGTATGTGTAAAAAACTCTATCCCTCCCGAAGTTGTGACAAAAACCAACCCTTGGTCTAATCTATAGCTTTCGGAGCTGGGGATGGACACAGGGAATGCCCTGGGCCTTTAGGCAATCCCTCTAGGCAGTTCCTTAATCACATCAGCCAAGCCAAAAAACTTTACCCATAGGAGGGCTGGATTTTCTCTGGGATTTCTGGCATGGTCTGAGACACCTCTTGCTTAGTAGTGTTAAAAAACAAAACATCCAAGTAAATTTGAAGATGGGATAAGTTTTATTAAGCAACTTATGAATCAGGAATCATCCCACTTAGCAAGGAGAGAAATGCTCCAAAGAGTTGTACCAAAATGAAAGGTTTTTATAGACCCTGGGGCAGGGCAAAAAAGTTATTAGCAAAATAAGTGATTAGGGCTTGTTTCAAGTAAGGTCACTTTCCCTTGAGGAGCAGTGGGTCTTATGCAGATGACCTCACTAGTAAGTTCACAATGATTGGCTTAAATGCCTTGCCTGGGAAAGGCTAAATTGCAATTAGCAATTAGGTTGGGTATTAAGCCCCAGCTTACTGGTGACTTAGCCTAGGGTAAGTTATTGTATGGTGGGCCTGTTTTTCTTTTTAGCCATTGTGAGGATGATTGGAAAAGACAGAAGGGCCCTAGTAAGTATGAAGCTCTTGATGTATGCCAAACACTTTATATATTTAATGATTAGCAAAAGCCTTTGCTGTAGGTGTCAATCACTAGTCATATCTTGTAGAATTTGAAGCTCAGAGGGGTTAAGTAACTTGCTCAAGGTCCTAAAGCCAAACAGCCCTACTAACATTGAAGTTTGCGCTCATAGATAACAAGTTAGTGATCTGAACCATGCAGCCTATGGAGGGAGAGATGCCTTTGCTTTCTTTGAAGGCCACCGTCTTTGTCTGTTTGGAGGGTTTCTTTCAGTCTATAAATGTTTGCTGAACTCCATTACGTGCATATCTCTTTGATATTAGGAGATATGGAAGTTTCATAGACAAAGTCTTTGTACCTCCAAAGGAAAGGTTCTAACGCCATTATTACCTTGTGCTCCCTGCCCCCCTAAATTTCTGAGGTCTTTCATGGGGTAGAGAAGGGCTTCTGGATAAGGCTTTTCCTAAGGGAACGAGGTGGGTATGGATAGCAGGAGTTTTCTTGGCACCTTTTGCCCATTTATACTATAGTTAGTACAGTCATTACAAATATCTGGTGAGGTACATAAAGCTGGAGAAATGAAACAGGTAGACAAGGAACTAACAAATACAGAAATATTTTGAAGGGGAAAAATTCCTCATTTATTTTTTAAAAAGTGGGCAACTCTTGAAAGCTTGTGACCCATTCATTTGCAGTTTATGATTTCCTTTTCACTTGAAGAAAGATTTCCTTCTTGAAGGAAATTCAAATCTTGAAGGAAAGATTTCACTTGAAGAAAAATTCCTAAAATTGGTTTAGGGAATTCTAGGCCAGAGAAAAGGGTTGAATTGTAATCTCCGTACTGCTGCTAGTTCACTGAATGACTTCAGGTAAATTATTCAACCTATTTATGTATCAGTTTAGAAATGGAGAGAGTGATGTCAGATACGTCACAGTGTTTTTGGAGGGATCTCTAGTAAAGGGATTATAATAACAGCTATGCAGTGTGCATAACAGAACACTTTGTGTTTTTCTCTGGATCGAAAGAGTTGACACAGGTTCACAATTTTATACTTGGCATAAAACTCTTGGGAATCTGAAACTTGCTGGAGTTTTAAAAAAAAGCAGACACCTGTTATTTGCATAGTGTGAAATGCTGAGTGATTTACTAAGCATTTTCAGATATCTTAACTGATCTTCACCTCACCTAAAGTGGAATCAGTGTTCCTGTTTATGCCTCAAGAAACTTGGGTCTTGCAATGAAGGTAACTCAGGCAAAAGTGCTTTATTATTATTTTTTAAAATTGAAGTATAATTGATATCAATTTTATATTGGTTTTAAGTATACAACACAGTGGTTCAACAGTTACCCATAATATTAAATCCTCACCCCCACTAGTGTGGTCACTATCTGTCAACACAGGAAGATGTTACAGAATCATTGGCGATATTCTCCACGCTGTACTAAAAGGTGCTTTTATTTATTTTGTTCGCAGCAGCTATCTAGAAAACTGTTTTCTTCATCTCAATAAGTTGTGATAACAAACCATCACAAATCCATCACCAGACAAATGAAACACAATCCTCTCTCCAGGGGACACCTCCCACTCTTGCGCAGACTCCAAACCCAGAGCCAACAGTACATAGCTGTTAAATCACCAGAAACTCCAAACCCATAGCAGTGACAGATCATCTTCATGTTTATTAGACAGCAATATCTGGGAGTAGTTTGGAATGCATTGGCTTTTCTAAAGAAAGTTGTGTTCATTTGGGGAATAACCAGCCAAGATTCAACTCTGTTTTCTTTCTGTGAGGGTATGAAGGCTGAGAAAATGGGTTGTTTAGATAACTAGCATGGGAAAATAATACCTATTTAAAAGCTTTTGGCACATAACCAGTTAACAGTCCATCAACAGTAGGCAGATTGACACTATCTCCTCCTTTGAGGGTTGGAGTTGATGGTAAAGTGTAGAGCCCAGTTCCCCATGAGGAAAGGAACACCCCCCGGCCAACTATGGGTCTCTTCTCCCAGCAGGGCAGCACTGTACAAGGAGCCTGTCTAGATGCAAGGCCAACAGGTATAGGGGAGTGGGCTCTGTTCCTCCCAGTTTTGGGGTGAACGCTGATAGACCTGCCAATGCAGTTCCAGTGGACTTGGGAGGGGGCCATTTTTTTTTTTAGCCTAGTCTCCAGCTCGGTCTCTTGTCTGGCGAAGCTGGAAGCACCTGGAGTCCTCTTAGCCCCAGGGTCTGCGGGCTTCTGACCAGGGGCATTAACATCACTATGAGGAAGGCGCCCTGCTGCGTGCACTTATTTGCATCCAAGTGTTTGCACCCGAACAGGTGCTCAACGTGCTCGAGGTCACGCACGCTGGGGCCCCAGTAACAGAAACAAGTAGGAAGACCTGTCTAGGGGTGGGCAGGTAGGGAGGGGCTCCGGAAAGGGTGAGCCCCTGTCTCCCACCCCAAATCTCTAACAGCTCCTGGTCCGTAGTGCAGGCCTCCGCTTCGGCCAGGACCCTTGCCCTAGGGTCCTCCACTCCCAGCAAGGTCCCCCAAGCCGCTCCTCCTCCCCAGTTCCCTGCGGGCCCCGCAGCGCTCCGACCTCACTGGGCCGGCCCATTCCTCTTAGCTAGCCCGGCGCTGGGGGCGGGCACCTGCCCCCACCCTTCGGCGACCCCTCCCCTTCTCTTCCCCCTCCCCTCGTCCCCTCCCTCCCCTCCCCCCCGTGGCGAGGCGGCGGCGGCGGCGGCGGCGGCGGCGGCAGCGGCGGCGGCTGAAGCTGAGGCGGCAGCGGCGGCGGCGGCAGCGGCGACGGCGGCGGCGGGCGGGGCTCGGCTCGGGCTCCGCGGGCGGGCGGGCGGACATGGCGGCCAACATGTACCGGGTCGGAGGTAGGAAGGCTCGGCCCGACCCGGCCCGTCTGGGAACGGGCTCGGGGAGTGGGGGGTCGGGGCGAGTTCACCCTAACTGCTGGGCGCCACGGGCGCCTAGGCTGAGCGCGCAGGGGCCGGGGGGCGCCAGGGCCCGCAGTGGGGGCCCGGCTCCCTGCCCCCCCGCTCCTCCTCCCTCCACCGCGGCCCGCCAGGGGCCGGGGCCCACCCCGGCCCACCCCCACCCAACCCCCCACCCGCACCCCCGCTCAGTCTTTTAGGGCCAGGCCTATACTTGGGGATATGAATTATCAGACGCCCCCCTCCATGAAACCCCCATGGGTGTATGGGCCGTCGAGCCTCCTAACAGGGTGGTCTTTCCTCGCGTGGCTTCTAGGCAGTGGTGGTTCGAGGGGATGGGGGACATCCCCCTCCTCTACCCCTTCTCTCCTTCAGTGAGAGTGGGGGGGTGGGGGTGGGGCGATGGGGGCCCAGCCAGGAGCCCAGCTGGACAGGCCTGTTTGCGGAGACAGGGCCCCGCACCTCTCTTTCTTCACTCCCCCTTCCGTTTCTTGTCCAGCACCCCCCAAGAAAGGGCTTAGTGGGGCCAGGGCACCGTAGCCAGAGGTGGGGGAGTTGAGCTCTGCCTGGACGTTTGCTCTGCTGTCTGCCTCCTTCCCAGCCTTCTGCAGAAGAGAGAAATAAGGTCAAACAAACTTTCTCCCTACTCACGACGCCCTCCTCCCTCTTTCCTGGTAAAATAATAATTCAGATAAGTGGCTGTTTGTGTGTGAGACTTGCTCTTCCTTCTCTGCTCGTTAGCCGATCTGATGGATGGTGGTGGGAATGGCCTGGCTAAATGAGGCCACTTTGCAGAAGAGACAGCGTAAAGAGCTACTAAGATTGACAATAACAATGCAGCTCAGCCTCTCAAACACACAGTGGGAAGTTTCCAGTGAGCCTGTTAGAGGAAGGAAGATGCCACACTTGAAAATTTTTATCCTTTTTATTGAAAGCCTGCAGATTTGTTGATAATAAGACCCAAAATGGTTCTGGAATAAATACAGTAAAAGAGTATAAAAAAGATTCTGATCGTACCTCCAGAGATTTCTTCTCTCAGAAAGTGACACACCTCTTCTCTTTTTGTTCCCCTCGTCTTCCTAGATAGAGCTGTGGAAAAGTTTGTCAGGGTTCTTCCCTCTACCTGTGCTGCTCACCTATGTGTGTGTGTGTGTGTGTGTGTGTGAGAGAGAGAGAGAGAGAGAGAGAGAGAGAAGTTGGTGATTGAAATGTGCTTTGGGCTGCTAAGCCTTTCAAGATGCTCTGAGTTTGTCTTAGGTCAATAGTTGTCTGTGAGAAGCATACTCCAGGGCAAATTGGATTGGAGGGAAGAGATGTGGAAGCTGTTATAGTATGAAAGACACATGTTTAGTCAGCCCTGACTAGTCATTGATGAGAAGTGTCTTTCTGTTTATTATGAAAGAAGGGAAATGTGTGGGACAAACGTCTAGGAGAACATGATAAAACATTAATTGAAATGAAAGTGCCAAGAAAATAAGGGTCTGTGAATAGTAGGCACAGGAGAGAATATATTAAGGTTGCATTACTAACTTTGTTTTTACAAGGGAATGAATTACATGCTTCATTTTGAATGCGAATTGCCTAATATAGAAAGTCATAGATTGACAAATGTGAGCTTTCTTTTGGAAAGATTAAGCGCTTTACTTCCTTTAATTACAGATTATGTCTACTTTGAAAATTCCTCCAGCAACCCGTACCTAATCAGAAGGATAGAAGAACTCAACAAGGTATACCCTGAGTGTTCTAGATTTCTAATACTAAAAAGTAATTGTTTTCCATTGAAGGGTAATTTGGTTAAAGGGCATAAGAGGTGATAATACTTTCCACCCCAGACTCTTTGAAAGTAGAGATTTCAGTTTAGAGAGTTATGCAGGATTTTGAACTTTTTTTGCTTCTTGTAATTATCTCTGATACTAAGTGTTACTGAATATTTAACATCTGCAGATTTCTTCAGATTGCTTAGAGTGTCTCAGAGCAGGTCACTCCTGTAACTCAGTCCCTTTTTATATTGAGTTGTAATTTGCATTTCCCCCTTTTTTAGTGATTTAACTTGTCCTTTTCCAGAATTAGGAAGAGGAAGCTGGGAAATAACAGTATTGAAGGGAATTTGTAAAATTCTGGATTAGGCTAAATAATAAGAATACAGTTTTGGTATAATATAAAGTGACTTTGTACCTTAGGCCCAAGTAAACATAACTTTTATATTAAGGTTTGCCCCTGATAGCAGCTGTCTAGGACATCGGAAGCTTTGTGACTTTCTGCAGATGAGCTGTTACGATGGAGGCACAGGAAAACAGACATAAACTGTATGAACCATAGATTTCTAATGATTCTCTGGTTTCCTCCAAACCACTTTGAGGGCTATTTCTGTCGCTAATGAGAATTCACAGTATTAAAATATATGGGGCTGTCTAGCTAATACCTTCCCCCAAAGTACCGTTTAGAGACTGGTTCAGTTCTGAGACCTCTGAAGCCAGGTCTGGCCTTGGGAATTCTGGTCTTATGAGCCTCAAGATCTTGGTTTGTTTCTGGGGATACCCCAGGGACCTTGCATTTGTAAAAATTCTGTAGAATTTGAGACCACCCCCACAACTACATGAAGAGATTAGGTTAGTCTGGTGGATTAGGCAGATTAGTTTGTGGGTGGGAACTGTTACGTCACTGTGATCTGCTTTTCTTTCATATTATAGATGCAAGGTGCAATGTAGGCATTGTAATTGATGTAGGTAACTCTAAACCGTTCACCCTATGAGTTTATTTAGAAAATTAGGACTCAAAGAGGAATGTAGGCCTATGAGATATACATTCTCTAGCTGCTCCCTGTCTCTCATTGACTTCTACTCTTGCTGCTCCTTGCCTTGCCCATTTGGCTCCAAGCACACAGACTTCTAGGCTGTTTCTCACATGCACCCACCTCTGGACAATCTAGTTGATTCCAATCTCCCCGCCCTTTACTCTCTTTTCCATATCATTTATTACCTTCAGATATGCTTAGTTATTGTGTTTATATTTTCATTGCCTATTTTCCTAAACCACAGTGTAAGGTCTGCATGTGCAGTGATCTTTTAGAATAGTGACTGGCATGGAAGGCATTCAGTAAATATGTGTTCAGTTAATGAATTTCTCAAATGTCTGACGTTAATAGCTTTACGGTTAACAGAGTATTCTGATTCACTCATTTTATAGATATTTCTATGGACCTGCTATCTGTTAGGCATTTTTAGATAATGCTCTTTTAGAAATTAACAGGTTAACAAAAATAGGTTCAGTAGTGAAAATAGGCTGGACCTATTCAAGTAGAAGAAAATTGCTGCTGTGCTAAATTAAAAAATGTCAGCAAGGTGCTCTGGAAACATAATCTGAGGATTCACATTTGTTACCTCTTTTGAGCCTTACAAATACCTTTAAACCTTTAAGGTAGATTCATAATGGATTGTTGTCAGGAGGCACACAGTGGTTAGATGACTTGTTATACATCTAGTTGTAACCTGGATCATTTCACACCCCTTTATCATTATATTACCATTCACTTCTAAAGTAATCCCCTCCACACCCCCCATCCTCACCTTCTCCCTGCCCCTCTCTTTCAGCAAACTCATTACTACAATATGGTTCTTTGGGGGCTGGGGATGAGTGAACTGTGAGAGATGGGGTTCTCTAATTTCAGAGAATGTCAGTTTGGATGGAGTATTGATAACTAAGAACTGCGATTGGCTCGTTAAATACTGAATATTTATATAGAGACTTTTTTTTCTGGAGGAATGTGAAAAAGCTATGTCATTTTAAGTAGTTGATTAAACAAATATTTATTGAGCACTATTATGTACCAGGCACCATGCGAGGCACAGAGATAAAACAGTGAACAATGTGGACAAGATATCTGCCCATACAGGGTCTGCATTCTTATGAGGGAAACAAATGAAAAGACAACCTAATAGACATAAAGAAAATAGTGATAAATGGTATTGACTTTTAAGAAGGAAATAAGAGCTTTGACATAGAGAGTAACAGGGGTCACTTCCTTTCGATAGGAAGGGAAGGGTTTTAAGGATACTGAAGTTGAGAACTAAAGGATGAGAAAGAGGTACACCCAAGAGTGTTCCAGAGAGGGGTCCTGAGAAGATCAGAGGTCAAGTTGGCAAACGGAGAAACTTAACATGACTGGAAAATCCAAATAATGAATTTAAGAATGCTTGATATATTTTAATTGATAATCCAGGAGAAAAAAAGGACATTAACTGATTTTATTAACTATCTCCTTAAATAGAATGTGTTTCTGTAAAACCATTCCTAGGATAAGCTGTCATTCACCATTGTTACAGAAAATATACTTTTATTTAGCAGTTTGTTGTTTTTAAAAAATCTTACAGGAAATGTTACTTGACTCAGTTTGACAGGTGGACGACAGCTTTTTAAAAAATTTATTCTTTATTTTTTTAAGTTTCATTTAAAAATTACAATAACAGACTTTTGTCTGAATTTTTTCTCTATAAAGTTTTAGGAACATGCAGGTACAAAACTAAGTTTCAGGTGATGAGCACAGTTCAACGTTGTTTATCTTATATTCCCTCTTCTAGTTTGATTCACATATAGTGACGATGACCTTTTGGGGGATGAATGGAAGGTTAAAATAGAAAACAACTCACACACACACAAGAAAACAACTCCTTTGTACATTTTATTTAGTTACTAGGATGAATACTGTTCTTGCTTCTAAAGATTGAACATGCCTACATGTAGAAAGCAAGCTTCGTGCATCCAGTAGTGGGAATGTAGTCTCAGGAAGTTGTGGAAGTTATGCTTGTGGATAAATTAGTGTGTTATTCACTGCTGGTTGTTTTGTTGGTGTGTATGTTGTATAATTTACAGGGATCTTCATATTCTATATGTTATTAGCTACTGAACTTGCTCTGAGGTTCATTTTACTGTTTGGGTCTTGCTTCTTTTGGTGGATGGAGGGGAGTCGCTAATCACTTGGAGCATCTGATGACTGACACCCTCCCTCCCCCATCCTAAATCTATGTTTGAACATATAAGGTTATGCACATAGTTTCAGGAGATCCCTTAAAGCCCTTTTATTGACCCAAGTTAAGATCCCTCCTGCCATTTGAGATCTCTTGGGAATGAGGACAGATACTGGGAAAGTCATGACCCTTCCACTTGTTCTTTCAGTTTGGCAAACCATGTACTTTCTGAAATGGAAAGTGTAATTTTATATTTAAAATTATGCACTTTCTAGGTCTGGGATAGAAACGAACATGAGTCTGAGGTTGACTAAAATGATTTTAGAACTTCAGTAAAGCTCCTTATTATTGCTAGAGGATACTTTATAAGCATGTTTGACAGAAAAGAGATTTAAGAGGTTGCAACCTAAATGGAGAAAACAAGACAGACAGGAAATTGACGTTCAATGTGGGCTTTTCTTTATACATGTCCTGTGTTTCCCACCTGTGGGTTTTTGCTGAGGTTTTTTTTTTCTTCTTAGACTACTCAGTCCTCCAGGCTTCATCTAGTGCACTCCTTTTCTTCTTTTCTAGCTGATCAAGGATCTCCACCCCATTTCCTCCACCATGTAGCTTTTTCTACCTTCCTCCAAAAGGTTGTACTGCCTCCACGAGTGAGAAGTAAAGTCTAGAGGAGAAAGGAGCGTGTACAGGAAAATGGGGCTGGGAATGTTGTCAGGAATGCTTTAGTTGTGGGGAACTGGTAAAGGTTTCTGATGAGGTGGCAACACAATTACAGAGAGGCTTGGAAGGTTGGAAGAGAGGTGACCTGTGAACAGGCATCCTTGCTGGAGTGGAGGCTCTCTGAGGGCAGGCACCACGTATCCACAGTGCTTATTTAAGTGCTTGGGCATACAGCAAGGGCTCAGAAGAAATTTGGTGAGTTGAAAGAATAATCAAACTTTATACCAAATATTTAACTTTGGTCTTTAGAGCATTCATCTCAAACTGTTGTGAAGGATTTTTAAGAATGTTTGCTATCTCTGACTGCTTTTGTAAAACTAAAAAAAAAAAAGAAAAATGAAATTTAAAGTAGGTTTATAAAAATGCAATCCCCCATTTTTCATTATTAGGTTCACTGGATATAAAATTAATTCTCAAATGTTAAACTAATGCTTACTGTCAGTCTCTGCACTCATTTCATTACACAGTAACAGTAATGGAATGAGCCTTAGCCACAGGAGAAGCTCAACTTAGAGGAATGCTCAAGGTTGAGTGTGTGCCTGTGTGTGTTTGTGTCTCTGTGTGTCTGTGAGTGTATATGTGTGAATTGAGAGGGGAAGAGGAATGCTGTTGTTATAAACTATTGAATAGCCAAGTGGATACATGGTTCAGAAGAGAATATTTATTTTGAAGTAAGCCCCTCAACCCCAAATTTTTAAATAAGGATTTAATTAGCTTTGTATAGTATCCCTATTGGAGGAACTCTCTAGTGAGGTTGAAAAAGATATGCCTTGAAACTTTTTTTTTTGAGGAAAATAATATCTATTTATGTATTTGTGTATTTTTTTTTACTGAGGTATACTTGAAATACAATATTGTATTGGTTTCAAGTATACAACACAGTGATTCAACAGTTACACCCATTATTAAATCCTCGCCTCAGTGAGTCTAGTTACTATCTGTCAACACAGAAGGATGTTATGAACCATTAAGTGTGTTCTCCAAGCTGCATTTCCATCCCTGTGACCAACTTACATTATGATTGAGATTTTTCCCCTCACCCACTCTACCCTCCCTAACCCTTCCCCTATGGTAACCACCAGTCACCTGTCAGTCTTTAAGACTACTGCTGTCTTTCCCTTTTGTTTTTAGATTCCACGTATAAGTGAAATCACATGGTATTTGTTTTTCTCCTCCTGGCTTATTTCACTAAGCATCTACCCTCGCCTTGAAACTCTTGCTTTGGGTTTTTACTCCTGCTTTTGTCTCCAGAAAATGAAAGTGATACAGAGCTTATAATTGAAGTCATTGATAGATTTTATTTACAGAAAATATTGGCCTGTTCATTTAGCAGATACCTGGATCATTATTTCTGGAGGATATACTTGATCGCAATATTCTGAAATAGAGAGGACACTTTGGTTAGGATTTAATATGATTTCAATTTTAAGGGGCAGTATTTCTACATGACTATTTCTCTAAAATACTGCTGCTGAACTTCATAAAATTGACAAATGTACTGCAGCACATATATATTCATATTTCTTTATATCTGAATATATCTGTAAGCCCAGAGAAATCCTGAAAATTTGTTTTCAAATCTGTTTGAAATTGGAAATCACAGTAGCATTTTTTTTTTATTAAGCTATCATTGATCACAATAACATTTTATTGTGATCTGTATGTTTTTATAGGGAACTTCGTAATGAATGATTGACCTTCTTGAAAGTGCTCAGAATTTATAAAGAATAGGAGAGTAGGCACCTGGGCCCCAGCTGCAGTAAATTACAACCTAACTGAATATTGATTGTGTTCTAGACTGTAGTCAAGAATAAGTAAGAGCCTCAGTGTTCATAACTCAAGGTATTTAATACATTTATATTCGAAGGTAAACTAAATATTTCAATGAATATTGATATTATGGATTCCTAAAGTCCCTGGCCTGTAGATGGCTTTTCTAAGTCATCTGGCCATTCTGTGTCACGGCTGCCCTGTATCTATAGAGCTTCACCATCAGAGGAACATTTATGAAAGGGCTAGGTGGTTTTACTCTTAGCCTATGCTTCTGGGAGTGGGTTTGAAGGCAGTATGTTTAACTGTTGTAAGTAAATTATGTTGTGGCTTTAAAAATTTTGGGGATTAGTTTCTTAAGGCTAATCAGATTTAACATGTCTGGCTTTAGTTGTAAAAGTGGTCTGATCACTTTATTTTAATTGATGCCAGTAAGTTATTTTATGTTTGACATTTCAGTTTCACTTGGAACCTTTGCAAATGTTGCTCATCCTTATTTGAATTTTTTAGCTCTGATTATCTTGCCCTTGTGGTTGGCACAGTATAAATGAGATGGATCTTATAATTGTGCTCTATCTGGTTTTGTTTTATAAACTATTTGAATCTAACATTCAGTACAGATGACTTTTATTTTTCTTATTTCTTAGACTGCAACTGGCAACGTGGAAGCAAAAGTAGTGTGCTTTTATAGACGACGAGATATTTCCAACACGCTTATAATGCTTGCAGACAAGCATGCTAGTAAGTTAATTGTCTTTTTCTTGGCAAATTAAAAGAAGTTTTAAGTCTTTTGTTTTGCATGATATGAGGAAACATTTTTTGTTCCTGCAGCTTTTTGTTTTCCCATTTGTCTTACTACTAGTTTAGATGGGAGTAATTTTTTGGGTGGTGCGTGGTTTTAGTGTATATATTTTTTAGGTTGCGTCATATGTTTTTAGTCAAAATGTTGAAATAGAAGTGTTTGTAAGTAGGCTTTAGTGGGCAATCGGCAGTGTTTTGCCATCTCTAATTTTTGATGTTGTCTTGAGTGTTTGCATGCAAGGAAATTTACGCTTTATTGGTGCTTTGGTGCTGGGCGTGGGTGCCACTTGTTTCCTACCCTCTAAAACAACTGGGTAACATTTACGTTTTTAAAAATTCTGAGTATTTATTATTTGTTTGTAGTATTAGGTACATATGGAAAAGAGTTTGCTGGAAAACTGAAGTGCAGAGAATTCCTGTAGATCACAGCTCTGAGTGATTCTTTGTTGTTTAATCGTCACTGTTTTTTCCCCCAATGAAAGACATATTTAGCCCTTTGAGTTTTTAAAACAACAAACACAATCATAAAAAAAGTGATTAAATTTTAAGAAATATTTAGAATGTAAGTACTTTATTTTGAAAGCCATTTTGTCCTACAAAATATGTAATGAGACTAGGACTGTATGTATTTGTATTTTTCAGCTACCATAATCTGTAATATTCTGGTGTTGGCTATCCTGAAGCTTTTGAAATGTTTTGGTAGTGGGGTAAGGGAGGCTGTGATGTGCATAGGTTTCTTCTGTATGTGCTTGAGAATTATTTCCATACTGTGTTGCCGATAACCAGGCAGACTGACTGTCTCATAAGTTAAATTCCTACTACATTTTCTGCTGTAGTTGAAAATGTGTTTCAGTTTCTATTTATGTGTAGATAGTATTTATTATGATATGGCTGTTCTATAGTATTTACAGATTACATGTTGACAAGTTCAGGGTATTCATATTTGTTTCTCATGCATGAGACAAAATACTGCTTCTTAAAATGACATACTAATTAGTTGTTTTAGCTATGTCTAAGATCTGTAAATTTAATGTTCTGTTAAAAGTATCTGCAGAATTATTTGGATTTCACTTATCATTTATAGCATAAACTTAAGAAAGATAAAATGTATGCCTTTGGATTTAATTTAGCTTCTAATGAAGCTTCTTAAGCTGTTGCTGCAAAGGTACAGTGAGGTCTGGAGATTGTCTGGGGGTCTGCTGACTTGTTCATGGTGGGTCCCAGCATGGCTGCATCTTGGTGCTTGGTTTACTTTAGGCTTGTAGATACAGCAAATCGGTTTTTTCAGAATTGATTAGGCTCTTGGTATTGACTCAGAAACTAAATTAAGTAACCGAAGAATTAAATTATATGATGGCAGTCCTGCAGTTTAGAGGAGGACCTGGGTCCAGGTTCTGGTTTGCTGTGTGCTGCTTTCTTTGGGAATATTTAATTTCTCACCCATTCCCATTTTCCTCATCTGTAAAATGCAATAGAAACAAAAGCCACCTTATTTTGTGTCATATATTTTGCCACAATTGAAAAACAATTAATGGAAAAAAAGTTAAGCCAGCATTTTCAGATGAGAACTAAATGACCTAAGGAGCGCTCATAATGGGTGCTAATAAGTAATTGGTTTTTCTACTTTCTCAGTGATTTGTAGATCTCTTCAGGTGGACTACTTCTATCTACATTTACCTGTTTTCCATTATCTATTGATTTTACCCTTAAAGGTAACTGTCTAGGTAGTAGAGTTAGAGTATCTTACTGTATTTTCTGTTGGTGTTGACTAAAACTTCAGGTGGGGAGAGTCACATTACCTTATAATATAAATATATATTTATAAATATATAGAGTTCATGCTTTATAAAGAGGTTTTAAGGGAGAATTAATTAACTGAGAGGGCATCATATGTTAAAAAGATTGCAAAACTGGAGTGTTGGGTGTGCCACCTAATTTCCAGAGCCTTAGTTTGTCCATTAAAAAAAAACTACATTATAAACTTTAAAACTTTTTATTACAGAAAATTATAAACATTAAAGAACAGAACAGTATGATAATATACCTGATACTTCTTCCATTACTATGCTCTAACAGTTACCAGTACATGACCTATTCTCTAGACCTGTTCTTTTGTCCCAGTATTTTGAAGGTCATTAGGGAAATCTTACCATCTCATCTATAAATATTTCAGGTGTATTTCTAAAAGATAAGGCCTCATAAAGGCTTACAGAAAGTGCCAAGAATAGTCAAGAAACTTTCATATGCCCTTTACCCAGATTCAGTAATTAAGATTTTGCTTTAAAGAAACTGACATCATTCTTGATGTATATTTACATATAAATTTTTTATAATATATGTATAATATAAAATATATGATGTATAATATAAAATATATGTGTATATATATATTTTCCTCTTTGAAAGTAATTTGGAGACTTCAGTGTGTTTTTTCTAAATGCAAAGAAATTTATATAACCACAGTATAATAAACAAGTCAGGAAACCTAATATTTATATAAAACTCATCTCATTCACAGTCTTTTTTTTTCAGACTTCATGCCCCAATGGTGTTCTTTATAGCTGTATATTTTTTTCTTTAGAATAAAATCCAGGCTCACTCCGTTGTATTTTATTGTCACATCTCTTTGATATTGAGCCAGTTCTTAGTTTTTCTTTGTGCTTTTTGACCTTAACATTTTTTAAGGTAACAGGCTAGTTATTTTGTAGAACTTGGCTCAGTTTGTGTGTGTTGAGTGTTCCGTATGATTAGTTTCAGGTTATGTGCTTTTTGTAGGGATGCCACAAATGATGATGTGTTCCCCTCAGTGTGTTGTGTTAGGTGGCACATAATTGGGTTTGTCTTAATAGTGGTTATGTTAGGTTTGATGGCTTGTTTAAGGTGTCCCTTTGTATTCATTAGGTTATTTTGGCAGAGGTACTTTCTAACAATGTAACTACCTTGTTTCTGGTCATGTTTAACCTCTTCCCATTAAGTATTCATTGATCATTTAGGATTTTGTTAACATTAGTCTCATCAAACACCTAGTTAGTTTACACATTTTTCCTTTTGTAGTTTCCTTTTCTTTTTTTTTTTTTGCATGACACTCAAATTTCTGAGTTTAATTAAAATTGTATGTTTTATTCTTTCTACAAATTAAACTCCTCCATTCTTATGGAGTTTGATGAAACAGTATATACAATTCAAATGACATAGTCCAATATATGAGTATAGCAAAGAACAATGGTAAGAGAGATCAGCAAACTAGAATTGCTTGTATTAAGTGGGAAAAATCCATGAGATATGTATCTGATGACATAAAATCACAGTATTTCATCTGCATAGAGATACCCAGCTGTTAATACAAAAGAATGCAACATGAATTCCCTTACCAAGAGTGATTTCCTTAACCTGAGTCAATTTCAGTTTAAAAATGATTAACATCTTGATTTGATTGGGTGACAAATTTTATTGGTAACATACCTCATTTTTTAAAGAATAGATTCACAACATATATAGTTTACAAGGTTCTTTTTCATTTTAATAGTTTTTAAAAATTGGGATCCATATAAGGTTTATGGATTATGATTGGTTGATAAGACTCTTTTTTTCTTGTCCATCTGTTTTTTTAATTGGTACATAATTTACATTGCATAAAATCCATTCTTTAAAAGTGCACAATTTAGTAGTTCTTAGTATACTCACAAAGTTGTATAACCATCACCACTATCTAATTTCGGAATATTTTTATCACCCCTAAAAGAAACCAGTTACTCCCCATTCGCCCTTCCTGGCAACCACTGTAGTCACTGATCTACTTTCTGTCTCGATAGAACTGTCCATTCTGGGCATTTCATTTAAAGGGACTCATACAATATTGTGTTTTTTTTTTTGTACTAAGTGTAATATTTTCAAGATTCTTCCATGTTATAGTATAATTCCTTCATTCCTTTTTGTAGTTTAATGATATCCCATTGGATTGATACACCACATTTTATCCGTTGGTCAATTGATGGACATTTTGATTGTTCCCTTTTCTGATTATTATGAATAATGCTGCTATGAATGTTCATGTGCAAGTTTTTTGTGTGGGTATCCTCAAATCTTTTAATCTGTACCTAATATTCTTTCATACTCTTTCTCAGTCTTTTATTGAAGATAGCAGGTAATTCATCCTGTAGAGTTTCTTTTGATCTGGAGCTTGTTTATTGCATTTCTGTTACATCTTTTACCATGTTTCTCTGTAGGTGAATAGTTAGATCAAGATTCTAGAGGATCTAAATCCAGGTGTTTTTTTGGGGGGTGGGTGATAGGGCATGCAAGATTACTTCATAGGCAGTATTATGTACTTCTGTCATGAGAGCCATAAGATATTGTTGCCTGTCTCTGTTTAACATCTTACTTTGAGATAATTTTAGATTTACAGAAAGATTATTAAAAACATTACCAAGAATTCCCATATGTTTTTCACCCAGATTTTCCCAAATGTTAACATTTTACTATATTTGCTTTATTATTCTATCTATATATATATTGTTAGTTTTTTTGAACCATTTGAAAGTAAGTTGAAGATATAGTTTCCCTGAACTCCTAAAGATACTTCAGAGTTATGTTCTAAGAACAAGAACGTTAGCTTCTCTAAGCTCAGCATGATGGTACTCTATAGACTTAGATTTTGCAAAATTTGCTACTAATGCCTTTTAAGCAAAAAAATGAAAAGGAATTTTAAGCTATCTTTTTGTAGTGTTATCAGTCATTAATTGATAACTATCTTAATCTGTTAAAGCTGCAAAATTATATTTTAATTTTATTATCCCTTCATTTGTTTGGTAAAATATTTCTATGAAGAGAATATTTCCTCTGTCAACTATAAGATTACTCCTCAGGTTTAGATCTTGTAGGACAGGTAAGTTAAATGCTTGGTGTGGTTTTTTCCTCTTTTTAGTTAGCAATTTTTAAAA